CCACCACCACCACCACCGCCCCCACCACCATCACTGTGGCCACCACCACCGCTACTGCCACCACCGCCACCATTACTGTTCAACCATTGGTCCTACCACCCCCCACCATCCCACCAACCCCCCTATGTCTATCACAACTACCACCCCCCCACCGCCAACCCCACCACCATCGCCACTGCCACCGTCGTTACCTTACCATAATCGCCACCACCACCCATTGCTACCACTGTCATCCACCTCCATCACTCACCACAATTACTATCTTATTATTATATTTATTACCACTACCATTACCACAATCATCCCATCACCACTGTCACCCCACCATCAACACCCACCACCATCTGTCCTTAGGCCTATCAACGGATCAGATATGAACCAAAATTCGATTAAGTTTTTGTTGATTCTATCCGATCCGATTAGATGATGGATTTGAAAAATTCAATTCATGTATGAATCTGCTAATTTTCAATACCCCATCAAAAAATTTGATCCGATCTTATTATCACAAAAAATACATTTGCACCAAAAAATTAACAATAAGAATTTGGATAATTATCTAAAAAAAAAGAGGAAAAATGAAAAATTGAAGTAAAAGCAAGATGAAAAATCAAACAAGAGAGGGAAACCAAATAAAAATGACAAAAATGGGTCATACATTATGATATTCACTCCATTTTTTACTTATTTTTTCGTATAAGTATAATATATGTGTGATATTTATTTACATAATATATTTTTTATTCAGATTGGATTATTATAAATCCATATCTGAATCCATTTAGACAACTCTAATCGGATTCGGATGTGTATCCAGATTAATGAATTAAAAATTTGATCGATATTCGTTTTAACGGATTCAAATTCAAATTCGGGTTGCAATCCGGTCCATTAATAGCCCTATCCGTTGTCGCCCACCATCGTCACCAGCTACCGTCACCCACCCCCACCACACCTACCACCACCCATTACACTATCGCCTAAAAACATCCGTCGTTGTCCACTACCACCATCGTCACTGCCCACCACCACAACCCACAATTGCCACTACTATAGTTGTTGCCCCACCATCACCACCCATGACTACCACTATTACCATCGTCACCCAAAATCCACCACCACCATCATAGTTGTCATCAATGGCTACAACCACCTTCACACCACCACCATTGTCGCGTCAGCACCACTACCACCGTTCACTCCCATTATAATTGGTATTTAAATTTTTTTTCTCTCTTTTATATTTGTGATTTAATTTGAGTATAAATACAAATATATTTTATTGTTCACTATTTTTTTATTACTCCGTATCAACGTGGACAATAACTAATATATATATACACATGCAAGTCAAAGCATGGGCTTCCTAGAGGTTTTGGACCAAGAACCCTAAAGCTGAAAATGATGGGGAGAGTTTCAGAACCAGATTACAAAGAAGCGGCAATGAACCAAACGTATCAAAATAAGTGTGCTGTGATGATGATTGGTTGTATGTCAATTCATGTGAGAAATTGTCTTCTGACATTGGACAAATAGGCAATTAACATTTGGCATGGGAATGGGATAACTATTTAACATAAACAAATAAAGCTTTCTTGCAAAACCGGCCTTGGAATATGCGGAATATTCCCACCTAATTTTTTTTTATTTTTTTAACTGTAAAAGGCTGTTGGTTTTGTGGGAAATTCAACCCAACATGCTCCCCTAGCCACCTACCATTCAAACAATCAAATCGAGCCAATTATTATTATTTTTGAACGATGGGCAATAATACTTCTAGCAGATTCTCCCTTCCTTTTTTTCGAGGTTGTGTTAGCACTTCTACTCCATTTGTTAGAGTAAATAATATCTCTTTACATTTTGCGTCCATTTTAGTAGCTTCAAATTAATGGTTCATATCTCATATATATATTCAATGTGTTTACAATTTCTTACTTTTAAATCTCACACATTGTACACTGAATATATTAAAATTATTGTAATATTATCTTTTTGTTAGTTTTCAATTAATGTTCACGGGGTAAACAACAAAAACTAACAAAATGATCATATTGTAACACTTTTAATATATTGAAGTTTGAAAAATTTAGTTTTTTAGAGTGTAAAATAAAATATTTAAAATCTTACAAGGTACAAAATGTGATTTCCCTAAAAAAATTTACAAGTCATAACTTCAACGAGACCCCTCTATTTTTTGAATTTTTTTATGTATTAAAATTAAAGACGATTAAAACTCGATTTGAATTAATTAAAATTTATTTTCTACGTATTAAAATTCAAATCAATTAAAAATTATATTTTTTATGTATTAAAATTTGAATCAATTAAAATTTTATTCGAACCGATTAAAATTTATTTTTAATCGACTCGAGTCAAATTTTAATTAACTCATATTAAATTTTAATCATTCTGAATTTTGATACACAAAAAATATAAATTTTAATTAACTCAAATTTTAATATTTAAAAAATAAATTTTAATTAACTTGAATCGAAATTTAATTGACACGAATTTTAATAAAAAAAAATATAAATTTTAATTGACTCAAAGTAAATTTTAATCGGTATTAATAGTTCAAATAGAACTCAAATCGAATCGAATTTTAATACATAAAAAAATAATTTTAATAGGCTCAAATTTTAATAAATAAAAAAATAAAATCTAACAACACAAATTTTAATACGTAGAAAATTAAGCAGATTAAATTTTAATATATAGAAAAATAAATTTCAATCAATTCAAAATTTAATCAAAATTTATTCAAAAAACTTATTTAGAATTTATGTATGGATAATTTAAGTATTTTAAATGGTTTTTTTTTTGTTAGAAATAGTTGTTTAACAGAAGATAGTGTCGGTGATATTTAAATGTAAATTAAAAAAATATTAGTAATATTTTAAATAATAGAAATGATATTCTTAAAAATATAATAAATTAGAAGGAATCTGACCCAAATTTTCCCTACTAAGATTATAAACTTTAAGTAACTGATGAATAAAAGGACAGGAGAGAGAACCAAATCCCCGTTACTGTCTAAAACGACTCCAAAGTCCTAACACACCACACACTATTATTGTCCAAGTATATACCTTCGTCCCTGTTTTCTTCTACGTTTATAAATTTCTGTCTTTCACGCAAAACTACCTCCAACTTTACTCTTCTGNAATTTTGATACACAAAAAATATAAATTTTAATTAACTCAAATTTTAATACTTAAAAAGTAAATTTTAATTAACTTGAATCGAAATTTAATTGACACGAATTTTAATAAGAAAAAATATAAATTTTAATTGACTCAAAGTAAATTTTAATCGGTATTAATAGTTCAAATAGAACTCAAATCGACTCAAATTTTAATACATAAAAAAATAATTTTAATAGGCTCGAATTTTAATAAGTTAAAAAATAAAATCTAACAACACAAATTTTAATATGTAGAAAATTAAGCAGATTAAATTTTAATATATAGAAAAATAAATTTCAATCAATTCAAAATTTAATCAAAATTTATTCAAAAAAATTATTTGGAATTTATGTAGGGATAATTTAAGTATTTTAAATGGTTTTTTTTTTTGTTAGAAATAGTTGTTTAACAGAAGATAGTGTCGGTGATATTTAAATGTAAATTACAAAAATTTTAGTAATATTTTAAATAATAGAAATGATATTCTTAAAAATATAATAAATTAGGAGAAATCTGACCCAAATTTTCCCTACTAAGATTATAAACTTTAAGTAACTGATGAATAAAAGGACAGGAGAGAGAACCAAATCCCCGTTACTGTCTAAAACGACTCCAAAGTCCTAACACACCACACACTATTATTGTCCAAGTATATACCTTCGTCCCTGTTTTCTTCTACGTTTATAAATTTCTGTCTTTCACGCAAAACTACCTCCAACTTTACTCTTCTGTCCTTCCGTTTTTGTCTCTTCACCTGCTACACGAAAGTATCCATCATCTTTACGCTTTTCTCCGGCCACCGGCCTACTACTGACCGGTCACCGGAAAATGGCTCCGGGACAAACCCACTTCACTGCCATCTTCTTACTATTCCTCCTGATCCCCACCAACTCTCTCGACTTTCCCTTTCCCAAACCCAGAAAAGACCATCAAATCAAAGGACCCATCAAAACCGTAGTTATTCTAGTCATGGAAAACCGCTCATTCGACCACATCCTCGGATGGCTCAAGAAAACCAGACCCGATATCAATGGCCTCACTGGTATGGAATCTAATNTCCTTTTCCAAACCCCGAAAAGACCATCAAATCAAAGGACCCATCAAAACCGTAGTTATTCTAGTCATGGAAAACCGCTCATTCGACCACATCCTCGGATGGCTCAAGAAAACCAGACCCGATATCAATGGCCTCACTGGTATGGAATCTAATAGAGTCAACGCTTCGGACCCATCATCTCCTCAAGTCGTCGTCTCCGACAGCGCTATTTTCGTCGACTCCGATCCCGGTCACTCTATACAAGCCATCCGCGAACAGATATTCGGGTCCAACGACACCTCCGCCGACCCGGCTCCGATGAACGGCTTCGTCCAACAAGCGGAGAGTATGGACGTTGAAGGCTTATCGGAAACGGTGATGAGCGGGTTCAAACCCGAACTTGTGCCCATTTACACCGAGTTAGCGAACGAGTTCGCCGTGATGGATCGCTGGTTCGCCTCAGTCCCCGCGTCAACTCAGCCAAACCGGTTCTATGTCCACTCAGCAACCTCTCACGGAGCTTCAAGCAATGTACGCAAAGACCTCATCCATGGGTTCCCCCAAAAAACCATCTTCGATTCGTTGGACGAAAACGACCTCACGTTTGGTATTTATTACCAGAACATACCCGCCACGCTCTTCTTCAAGAGCCTGAGAAAGCTAAAGCATGTATTCAAGTTTCACGAGTACAATTTGAAGTTCAAATTACACGCGAAGAAGGGTAAGCTTCCGAATTACGTGGTGGTGGAACAGAGATACTTCGACATTAACTTGTTTCCGGCGAACGACGACCACCCGTCGCACGATGTGGCGGTTGGGCAGAAGTTTGTGAAGGAGGTGTATGAGATTTTGAGGGCCAGTCCACAGTGGAAGGAAATGGCGTTATTGATCACTTATGATGAACATGGTGGGTTTTATGATCATGTCCCAACTCCTGTTTCTAATGTGCCTAATCCAGATGGGATTATTGGGCCTGATCCCTATTATTTCCGATTTGATCGGTTGGGTGTGCGTGTTCCGACGTTTCTTATTTCCCCATGGATTGATAAGGGCATTGGTGAGTGATTTTTACTTCATCTTGGGTAGTTACTGGATTGTTAGTGTTATTTTCTTGATTGTTAATTGGTTTTCAATTATAGTCTGTCTACATGTACTTTCTGGATAATAGTTAGTATTAGAGACGGCTGAATCCTTGCTTGTTGAATTATTAAGGTTGATGTAATTGTTATTTAGTTCTCCCAGTACCTAAGCATGCCAGGATTTAGTAGGAGTGGTCTTGAGTGAACCCCAAGATATATGATTTGTGTCGTATGATTTTGTCATAATTGATGATGCTGAAGTTAGGCTATTGGAGCTTTACTAAAGTATCAGGTACCATCTCCCTGCTCATGCTGCATCGGCACTTGACTCTGCCAAGGTCTGAGAGAAAATAGGAAATTTCTGCTGCAAAATTTAGCTGGATTAAGCTGCCTTTTTCAGTCTATAGGTCTATAACTCTTAATCCATAAAGATATCGATTATATTCTCTTTGGAACTGAACAAAGTGAATTGATTGAGAATACATCTAGTAATAGTGTATTTTGCTTTGTATTTTTCTCAGTAAGTATTTTATATGGGATTTCAAGTCCTTTGGTTTTGAGATTTACAATTTTGATTGTTTGGTGCAGTGATCCATGAACCCAGTGGGCCAACCCCTTTTTCACAGTTTGAACACTCTTCCATCCCTGCTACTGTGAAGAAACTTTTCAATTTAAAATCTAATTTCTTGACCAAAAGGGATGCCTGGGCTGGAACCTTTGAGAATTACTTCTACTTGCGTGACACTCCACGGGATGATTGTCCAGGTTTGCATCAGCCCCCTTGGATTTTTTTTTTCAAGCTCTTCTTTTTTATTAATGGAAGTAAAGTTTATTGATTAGATATGGCATATTTACAAAACTTGTATGCATGTATACACACGTTACACAAATATATAATAGGAGTGTTTGCATAGGCGGTGGGATTGCTTCTCATTATGCCTATGACTGTATTCATCAATCAATCAGGACCTTTTGTTGGAGTTCTGTATGCCAGAATGACTGTTAAAAACCATTCTACTACTGTAAAACGTATTCACTAGTTCATACTTGACTGTGTGAACCCTTTCCTATTTGCTGTCTTAATATTTGGTTATAGTGCATTATAATTGTGTTGAATGTTCTCGATTGAAAAATGAAAACAATTGTCAACTGTGATATTTGGATGGCTGTGCAGAAACTCTTCCAGAAGTGAAGATATCATTGAGGCCATGGGGACCCAAGGAAGATGCGAAGCTCTCAGAGTTCCAAGTTGAATTGATACAACTCGCATCCCAGCTTAATGGCGATTACGTTCTCAATACCTACCCTGATATTGGCAAAGGCATGACAGTTGGGGAAGCCAACCGATATGCTGAGGATGCAGTAGAGAGGTTTTTGGAAGCTGGAAGGGTTGCTTTGAGAGCTGGAGCAAACGGGTCTGCAATGGTTACAATGAGACCATCCCTCACTAGCCGAACTAAAGGGGAAGAAGAGTATAGCCGCTATGCGAAAGCCTATTGATTTCAAGACAATTCCTGGTAGTATAAATTGTGTGCTGCTGTTTGTTTACATATTGTGTGTAAAGTTCAAAATGCCCTCCAAACAAATGGACCAAAAGTAAGCCAACCACGAATTTGTGAACTTTTAAGGGAAGTGCCCAGGAGCTTAGTACCCAGCTTTACCCCATTTTTGGTGTCATTTGTAGGTAATTGGTATTGTCGTACAAAGTGGCAAAATGAATGTTAATGGATCCCCTGCTTTCTGTAGAGATAACTTTTCCTGATAATTGTATTCAGTACTCAGCTTTCATCCCTTTGTTTCGCCATCTTATCTCCGACATTGCTCTGATAGTCTTTACCCCTCTCATATCTTTGAGTGAGCATGGAATTGGAAGATAGGAGATGCAGATGCTTATATATAGCACGTCTTACTCTTATGCTAATGCCCAAGACCCTGCTCCAGCTGCCATAGGGACCTAGGCACCTTGAGTTTGTCACTAGGTACTCGATGAAATAGGATTGTACGTTTATATATAATCTAATCAGTAAACTATCCCTAAAGAAATGTAT